TCTCTCTCTCTCTCTCTGCAGGAGAGACACACCACACGCTCCCCAGCGACAGCTTCGAGGAGAGCCTGACCGGGATCCTCACAGAGGGCGCCTCCGTCAACTACTACATGTTCTTCGGCGGAACCAACTTCGGCTTCATGAACGGCGCGAACGGCGCATTGATCCCGCCATACTACCAGCCGACGATCACCAGCTACGACTACGACGCGCTGCTCACAGAGTCCGGTGACGTCACACCGAAGTACATCCACGCCGTCGACGTGATGCGACGTCACGTGCCGGGCTTCCCCGCCACGCTGCCGCCGCTGCCACCGAAGACGCAGTATGCGCTCTACGGCAAGGTGACGTGAATATCCGTAAACTTTACCATGTAAGGTGACGTGAATATCCGTTAACTTTACCATGTAAGGTGACGTGAATATCCGTAAACTATACCGCGGTGTTTGGCGGCAATGGTAGAGCACGGTAATACTTAGAGATCAGTGTTGTAGCGTAACCGATTCTAAAAGTGTCCGTAACTTTACCCTGTAAGGTGGCGTTAATACCCATAACTTTATCTCGTATGGTGGCGTAAATATGCGTAACTTTATCGTGTAAGGTGGTGTGAATATCTGTAACTTTACCATGTAACTGTAAGGTGGCGTAAACATCCGTAAACTTTATCGCAGTGATTGGCGGTGAACGGTATTGTTGGTAGAACGCGGTGGTACGTAGAGATCCATATTGTAGTGTAACGCTGCGTACTGTAACTGCCTATTCGCCTGTCTAACCACTCTTCTAGCGATTATTCGTCACCTTCATGCCACAGGTGTGCGTTAATGTCACCTGTTACGTTGCCACAGGTGACGATGACGAGCTACCTGACGCTTGACCGACTCCTCGAGCTCGCTCCTATGGAGATGCACACGACGCCCGTCTCCATGGAGATGCTCAACTGCAACAACGACTCGGGTCAGGGCCACGGCTTCACGCTCTACCGGAAGCGCTTCGAGACGAGTGGCGGCGGCACGGTGCAGCTACGAGGCCGCGTCGCCGACCGAGCCGTCATCAAGCTCTACAACTCCGCCTACCAGTTCAAGATGCTCGCCGACTGGCTCGACGAAGACTTCGAGTTCATCGTGCCGGACTCACGGAAGTCGCGCATGGTTACTCCGTCATCGTTCACGCTCGACGTGCTCGTCGAGAACATGGGCCGCGTGAACTTCCAGTCGTTCCAGTCGGGGCCAAGCTGGCTGTGGTTGGACCGGCAGCGCAAGGGTCTCCTCGACGACGTCCTCTACAATGACGTTGCGCTGCGCGACTGGCAGATCTTCCCGCTGCAGTTCGACGCCGAGTTCATGGAAGGCCTCGCCAAGGAGACGATGTTCAGCCTCGATCAGTCGGCGATCGAAGGGAACGGCCTCGAGGGACCGGCGATGTTCAGGGGGCATTTGAACATCGAGGGTGCTCCCCGGGACACGTTTATCAGGTTGGAGGGCTGGGTCAAGGGGTCGGTGTTTGTGAACAACGTGAACATCGGAAGGTACTGGGAGGAGAAGGGACCGCAGAAGACGCTCTATGTTCCGGCGCCTTTCCTGAAAGAAGGCGAGAACGTCATCTTGGTTTAGATTTTACACAGAGCGAGGACCGTCTTGTAATGCTTCATTGACAGCCATATCTTGGCGGGTAATTTGATCGGGAGAGTATGAATGAGTATTGATTATATATTATTATTAGTATTACTATATTTAATATATTATTATAATAATATATATATTTAATTATATTTATATATATATATATATATATATATATATATATATTATATATATATTATATATATATATATATATATATATATAGTATTATTATATATTAATATTGATGTATGTCGTTATATATATATTTACAAGAGCTAATAATACCAAGAGGTATTATTAGCTCTTGATATTTATATATACGCCTAGGGAGAGCCCGAAACGGGCATTACACAGAATACTAATGTAGTACAAATATCTATCGCTATGAAGTTCATAGATCATCTTTTGTTCAAAATCTTTGGTCTTTGTTCACTTTTTCTTTTATACTGTTTGGTTCTCTTATGTCGTGATGACGAGTGAATAATTACATGATTGATGACGATGAAGGCATTCCTATACAACAGCTTTATCATAGTGCTTCGAGGGTGTCGTTTTTTATATTATCGTCGATTTATAGAAATTAGAAAATGTTAATTTTGAAACTGTTGCAAAATACCAAGAGCTAGTAATACCTATATATATATTTATAAGAAGTTTATTGATTCATAGTTACTACTTTCAACAACAAATAATCATGTGTGTATTATCAAGAGCTTATAATACCTATATATATATATATAGGTATTACTAGCTCTTGGTGTTATGCAACAGTTTCAAAATTAACATTTTCTAATTTCTATAAATCCTACATAAGAAGATAAAAAACGACACCCTTGAAGCACTACGATAAAGCTGTTGTATAGGAATGCCTTCATCAGGTGTAATTATTCACTCGTCATCACGACATAAGAGTATCAAACAGTATGAAAGAAAATGTAAACGAAGAGTAAAGATTTTGAACAAAAGATGATCTATGAACTTTATAGCGATAGATATTTGTACTACATTAGTATTCTGTGTAATGCCCGTTTCGGGTTCTCCCTAGGCGTATATATAAATNATGTAGTATATTATGCCGAGCATCGTCGCGACGACCAACAGTATTCTGTACAGGTGTGCGTGTCGGATGCTGATTATATTGGGCATCTTGGTTCAAAGGTGGCACCCCAAATCACGCATGCGTGTATCGATCGCGAGGGTACAAAGTTCGATCCACCATAACTTCAACTTCTAAAGAGAGATTATATACACGGACAATCAAACAATATAAAGTTAACACAGGTGATTTTTTTGAAATGTAGTAACGGTAAGAAAACACAGACACATAGGGCCACTATAGCCTCCACTGTAATATACAATTGTAGATAAATTACTCACTCAGATCTAGAAACTAAGAGTAAACAACCGACATGCAATATTTACATTTGTTCCAGGCCGGTTGTGACGTTGTTGCGATACTAGCGCCGCCGCGCCAGTCACCAATGATCAAACGATCAAACTCAAACCAGCTGATCAAACTATTGTCTTCACAATAATAGCAACAGCCTGGGCCACCATACAATTTAAGCAGTTTATTGGCTTCATTATTGATATGATCAGGCCTGATATGATCCATTTGTACAGATTTTTATATGTGGAGCCAAACTGTAACTGCTCCGACTAACGCGAATGCCAGCCAATCCGATTATGAAATAAATTATAATAAATAAAATTATGGTAATTTCAAGACACGCATATTGGCCGACATGCACGCTTTCACTTTTACTGTCGCACAGATTTTGGGCTACAAACGGAAAGGCCTGAATGATAGAGTTCTTTACTTTTTATGTGGTGTTTTGTCTGTTTTTATTTTTGACACCGAGGATTTTAATTATTGCTTTGCAGAGTTACCAGCCGAACAAACCTAGCATGGTAATGGAGTTCTAGAATGGATGGTTTGATCATTGGGGTGAGCAATTTTTTTCTCTTCTACTTGGAATTCTAAATGTTCAGCAATCCTCTTTTATCTGCATCTGTTGTAATTTACTCTGCATCTGTTGTCGTTGTCCTTATGGTTGCTATGTCTAATCGGCATGCCAGAGCTATCGACAGACACTATTTTAAACGCGTTTTTCTTCAAAAGAATCTTCAGTACTGTTTAGTAGAGTTACCTATGCAAATGCGTAATTTCCCAAATTTATGCTAACGTAATGGGTTGGTATTCAAGATTAGTTCAGTTGGCAGTGACATCGCGAGATGTTTGAACGTTTTTGAGGTCGTCCAGGTCTTATTTTCAACAATTTATTTACTGATAGTGATAAGATTTCATGGGGAAAATTGGCAGTGACATCGCGAGATGTTTTTGAGGTCGTCCAGGTTTTATTTTCAACAATTTATTTACTGATAGTGATAGGATTTGGTGGGGGGAAATTGACAGGTGGTGCGCAATTCCGTGAGAAATTGCTCACCTGTAGTAGACGTATTGCCTTGCGGTCTAGGTGTTTATTTTTATACTTGTATTTAACCTAGTCATTCCACAGTAGATGGCACGAAACACTATAGTAACCAATCACAACAATCAAATATTTTAAAATATTTTGATAAATTTAAATAATTTTTAAATAATTAAAATAAATTTTAAATAACTCATTTTCTAAATATTGGTCCGACCGCTAAACGTAAAACCGACATCCCCACACGGCGAACCCGCCTCCCATCCCTCTACCTCTCTCTCTCTCTGCAGGTGAGACACACCACACGTTCCCCATCGACAGCTTCAATGAGAGCCTGACCGGGATCCTCACAGAGGGCGCCTCCGTCAACTACTACATGTTCTTCGGCGGAACCAACTTCGGCTTCATGAACGGCGCGAACGGCGCGTCGAGCCCGCCCTACTACCAGCCGACGATCACCAGCTACGACTACGACGCGCTGCTCACTGAGTCCGGTGACGTCACGCCGAAGTACATCCACGCCGTCGACGTGATGCGACGTCACGTGCCGGGCTTCCTCGCCACGCTGCCGCCGCTGCCACCGAAGACGCAGTATGCGCTCTACGGCAAGGTGACGTGAATATACG